AATGGAGAAGTACTTGTTAGGCACAGGTATGGAAACAGAATGAAATAAGCAGTTAACATATTAGTATCACTTTTACTTGATCTGTTTTGAACGTAGTTTGCTTTTTTTCATTTTTAAATTCCAGAAACCAGAAAGACTGCTTTTGGAGTGGTGTACACCAAGAAAACCCCCCGAGCTTCGGAGGAGGAAGGCGTTCTCCCAGTCTGCAAAAAAGCCAAGACTGAAGTATGAGGATCAAACCCCAACTTCTCAGCTTCCATAAAGTCCTTTCCTCCTATGCTACCCACCTTGATGCCTTGATTCGTTATTTTAATTTGTTCAGCTAAGAATCTTTTATAAAAAAAAAACACTTTTATGTTTGTGCAAGAATAAGGTTATTGAAATCCATAACATTTCACCACAGCAGAACGATCTTACTTACAGAATGATGGTAAAAGGATAATGTAGGACTATTTTGCCATTTTTGTTAGAGCAGTGGTCTCTTCCCTACCCCTCCCAATCGCTGAAGATTAGAAAGGTGTAGCGGTTGTAGTATTAGTGTGAAAAATGTTACAGCATGAATTTTACAGCTACATACATCTTTCTATACAGTCACATGATTTTACTGTTAGCCCTTCTAAAACGTGATCACCACTTCTTCTCTTCATCAAAATTTAGAAAGTTTCCAGATATTTTACCTTACCACTGCAAGCCAGTACCCACAATCCCCCAACTGGCATAAGAAAAATAGTTGCATGGTGCAGAATAGCCCTGTCTAATTTTGTTTCATTCTGATAGTCTACTGAAACAGAGATTCTGGCATCTTTGAATTGCAAGGAAATCCCTTGTCAGTTATTTGTATTACAATAGCTCCTACTGGCTTGAGCCCATTATATTACACATGATACAAAGATATAACTGAAAGACAGTCCCTGCCCAGAAGATCTTAAAATCAAAATATGAGACAACGGCTAGTTACACCAGACATACAAGAAGAGCCTAAGGTAACACTTAGATGAGTGTGATCAATACGATAAGCCGTGGTCACAGCATGCTAGCTGCCTAACCTCGATCAAAGTAACCTTAGACAAATAGAACTTGCATCAGGGTCTATGTTCTCCAGCAAGAGCATCTATTCTGTTACCAGTTCCAGATCATCCAGCTGCCTGCAGATTATAATCAACTCCCTCCTGCAAAACGTTTTTAAGGCTCTTCCAAGTCTTGATTAAGGCTTTTCTTTTGATGGTGAACTAATATGAAAGAGGGGTAAGAGACTGTAATGGACCAGCTGTGTGTCAAACTATGACGATTTCAGCCCTTTGGCCACCTCTGGAAGCAAGCGAAGAAATGCTAATTATAGCTTGTAACATACTGCATGTCCTTTTGCAGTAGATTTATAGAAGGTAAAACTCAACAATTGGACTAAGCACCATGGATGGAGTTTTGCTTTAAAATTCACGAACACTTTTAGAAATGGACGGTGTTAGTCACAAGAAGTTTTTACTTTTAGGAGCGTACAATGCAATTTTTGCCCTTAATGTTCTTTGACTTTGTGCTTGATCTGTTGTTGTCAGTCATTGGGTATCATTACATTAGTTTGTCCTTTAATGAATCATAAACAAAGTCCTGACATTCTGGCTGAAACAAAGGGGGAGACCAAATGCAGCTGCCTACTAAATACGGGAGTGGCACTGCCTTCTCTTGCCATGGCCAGAATGGTACTTGCTTTGAGCGAGAGAGAAATTGCTTGTTGAATGATGCATAGAGAGAGGTTTGTGAATGTGGAACAAGCAGCATGGTAATCTGGCTTACTATTTGTTTAACATCAGTTCGAGCCTGGACATAACCTTGCTAACAGCCTATATTATTTGTTCTTTATCTCCTCCCTCCCAAGCACTGATAGAATAGTAGGAGACACCACATTTAATTCTTTAAATTGGATTTCTTTTTGTATCACACTAGCCTCTGATGCCTGGACTGTATAAATATTTCTCAAGTATAAATGTGGACAAAAGAAAAAGTCAGAGCCTATTTCCAGCAAGTTCTGTTCTAGCCTATTTCCAGCAAGTTCATGGACACTGAGCTGGTCTGTTGCACAGAAGTGGTGTAGCTGCAATACGTGGGTGGTGGGCAGTGACAGGGATCTACTATGACTCAACAAAGAGGAGCCTCTTAAGTCCCAGCATTTACAGAGATTTTTGTAAGTACTTGCATATAGTGTGCTGGATTAATTAGGGGGCACTTTGGAAAACACTTGTCTGAAGAGGATGATCTGTTTCATCCATCAAGATAGGTGGCTGCTAATAGAATTCTATAGGTGTTGATGATTTGTGGGTAGATCACATCTGTGCTCTTTTATTCGGTTATAATCACACTCACATGCTGCAAAACCACACTTTTATAATACAATATTCACGCCGACTGCCGAAGTCTAAATATAATTAACAGTTTTTAAATGACTGTCCATAGCCCATCATTTGCAGCAGTGTATCACCAGGACTTGATTTGGGTTTATTTCTAACGTTTGCAGACTAAAGTCTGACTGAACTGGGGGAGGGGCGTACACAATGGGGCAGTGGTAGTTTCTCATGTGGGAGGCTGCGACACTGGTGTGTGGTTTTAATTAAGTGCAGTGTAAAAGCCCACTCTAACATTAAAAGATCTAGAACTCCCACCTGGTGCATCTACAGGGATTAAAGTAAGGGAGAGCAGGGGAGAATATCGTTTTGCTTTCTCTACTAGAAGCAAAGGGAGAGCTGCTCTTCCTCTCCCAACATGGGCAAGTAGAATTCCCCCACTTCCTTGGCTGGTGCTTTTCAAGCTTCCCATCCTGTTTGGCTCTGCTTTAACTACTACTTAGCTGAGGAGCTGATGCCTATTCCAACTCAAAACTGAATTTTTACTTCGGTATTGACCACTATCAGTCTAACCTTTTTTAAAAAAAAAACCCACACAAATGAAGCTAAAAGGGGGTTTAATAATGAGAACATAATACTTCAGAGCTGGTAGCTCCAGGTAGCTGAGTAATTTTCTAAAGAAACTACACCTAATCATTTAGCTAACAAAGAGAAAGAAGCAGACTGTCTGGCAGCATCATGGTGCTCCCTCCATACAACTTCTCCACCTGGCAGAATACACTCGGAGATAAAAAGAACCACACAGTTTATTAAATTTTAAATAAGATCAATACAAAATGTACATAAAAAGCAGTACACATTTACAAATATACATCTCTCTTTCCTTAAATCAGTGTATACCAGCTTGTCAGAGGTGCATGTTCCTTCACTATCGTCCTCTTACCTTCAGAACATTGTTTGACCCAGCAACCAAACAATTACTTCATATTAGACTTGGGCTTCTTTATCAATGGCTAAACAACACAAGTCCAATTACTGAACTGTTCCTTTAATTCCACTTGGCATCTTAGTAAACCTTCCATTGCTTTCTACGGTCTTCCACATATTGCCACTCATTTTTACCAGCGTACTCTAATACTAAGAGTTAACAGAGACGGCAACAATGACATGTTAGCTAATTAGGTCTATTGAAAGGCTTGATAGGAGTACACCTGGACTGCTGACTAAGATAAGGGCGGGGAGGGTGCTAATATTGCTGACTGATTCAGGTTACCACAGTAGTAACTGTAGCGCTCTGTATAAAAACAACGGTAACATGACTTGTTGACAAAGATCAACAATGATAATCATTTGAACCACTAACAAAATAAAATAAATAAAGCAACTTTAAATCAATGGAATTTTAACACAAACTGTCTTTAAATATTTCTGAATCTTTGTTCTAGAGTATTCCAACAAAGGCAGCTACAAATAATCCAATAGGATACAAATTTTTTCTTCAGTAAAAATAGCATGTTCAGTGCAATTTTTCTTGAGGTTGGTTGGTGCCTTTAAACTGCTGAAGAGAAAACTACATTTCTCTAGGCAAGTAATTTTTCTCTCTTCAGAATGTGTTTATATGGGAGTTCTTGTGGGAGTTCTCTTTAAGGCTGTTGAATATCTCTTTGGTGCCATTCTGCCACTGAAGAACAAGATCCATAGGGGTTTTCTCTTCCTATTCAAAAGAGTGAGGGGAACCAGATTTAATTTCAGTTGATAAACAAGTAAATTAATGTCCCTGTTCTCTTCTAGTTCTGTGAGTTAGACACATATGTCTAATGTATGGTCTTTCTATATTTGATGACACCTAAGTTCTGGCTCAAACTCATCACCATGGTATCCACTGCCCCACTCTATAGAGGTATTCCTGCTCCTTTTGAAGTTAGCGGCTAACAACTATCCATTAATTTCAGTGGTTGCAGGAGCAGGCCCTATTAGTAAACGTCCTGATCAATAATAAAGCACACTTTAAATTTCATCTTTTAAAATACCTAACGCTTTCAGTTACAAAGTTTAATTTAAGCTAAAACAAAACAATCAGGAATCTGGTTAGCTAAACCATAAATCACTCAAACTGAAATAAGTGTCTACATAGGGGGTTGCAGCAGTTTAACTAAACAGCTTTAAAAATCACATCTTAAGCTAAACAGGTACAATTTGTGTAGACAAGGCCTAAGAGAGCAGATTTTTGGCTTTCAGCACTTACTGTCCATTCATTATTCTTCATACATATGCTGATGAATATGGTCATTAGTGACTATGTTACAGAGGGACTAATTAAAGTGGACTGAGGAAGTTGCCTGGAAGTCTTAGCAAAGTGCTGTCCCTGGGCAGCAAGGCAGATAATTTGGAAAAAATCAAATTGCAAAAATTGGTGATTGACGGCAATAGAGGTCACTTTCCAGCCTGCCATGGCTTTGGGAAAAAAATGTCCTAATCTCGTGAGCGGGGATGAGCTAATTTGCTGTATTTTTAACAACTGGTTACAGACATCTTCCTAGTATCAGAGGGGTAGCCGTGTTAGTCTGAATCTGTAAAAAGCAACAGAGGGTCCTGTGGCACCTTTAAAACTAACAGAAGTATTGGGAGCATAAGCTCTGGTGGGTAAGAACCTCACTTCTTCAGATGCAAGAAGTGAGGTTCTTACCCACGAAAGCTTATGCTCCCAATACTTCTGTTAGTCTCAAAGGTGCCACAGAACCCTCTGTTGCTTTAGACATCTTCCTGTTACTCCATAGCTGCTACTGTCAGAATTACCAAATGCAAAAGGTCAGTTTTTGGGCTTCTGAAATTAATCTTTAAGTTCTGCTTAAGCCAGAGTTCCCTCAATTGATTTACAGGTCCAGCTGGTCAGGTTACTAATTAACTATTCATACAGACATAGCCAAGACCAGCCATCAGCTGACTTTCTTTTTAGGGGGTTAAGAGTCAACTGCAGTTTGTGATGTTTAAAATATTATAAACATACAGTGCAAGTGCAACAGGTTGTAACAAAGAATTGCTCCAAAAGAATAATATCTCTGGATTTTTTTTTTAAGATAGATCACCTGGGTAGATTTAAGGTGGAGTATAATTTTAAATCTGAGTTGGATAAAAATTTGATTTTTTCAAAAATGTACTGAACATTTTTCATGAAACAGAAACCATTTTTCAATATGTTCTACTTTAAATTAATCTTATTTAGGAGGTCAGACTAGATCAGGGATTGGCAACGTTTGGCCCGCATCCGTAGGTTCGGCCAATCGTAGCTCCCACTGGCCGCGGTTCGCCGCTTCAGGCCAATGGGGGCTGCGTGAAGCTGCAGCCAGCACATCTCTCGTCCCGTGCCGCTTCCGGCAGCCCCCATTGGCCGGGAGCAGCGAACCGCGGCCAGTGGGAGCTGCGATCGGCCGAACCTATGGATGTAGCAAGTAAACAAACCAGCCCGGCTCACCAGGTGGTTTACCCTGGCAGGCCGCATGCCAAACGTTGCCAATCCCTGGACTAGATCATCATAATGGTTCCTTCTGGCCTGCAGATCTATGAAACTATTCTGATGGGAAGATTCTGTACTAATCTTACTTACACGGTTCTTTATATGTAGATTTGCTCCATACATAATCAGGAGTCTAATCATTTTATAACGATTCAGCCTCACTGCATCATGAAGTGGGGTGTCTCCTTCCTAAAACAAACAAAAGAAGATTGATTACTGGCTTAGATTCTGTGTGCTCACCCATCATTCAAGGCTGAACAAAGTACACAGCCATTTTACAATCAAGTGGAATTATAAAGGCATATTGTCAGCTCAGTGCTAGATTGTAATTGAGAGTTAGCCTCTGTGTTAAGTAAAATATATAATTTACTTACTCTGTCTTTGGCATTGAGGTCTGCTTCACAGGCAATGAGGTGCTCGGCACATTCATACTGACCCGTCCTTACAGCTACATGCAAAGGTGTACTGAGCAACTAGCAAATGGGAGGGAGAAAACAATCAGAGGGAGCAGGAAAATTACCAACAAAAAAATAATTAAATCTGATTTAGAGCCAGTACATGGAGAACAGCTGTCAAAATAATGGACAGAGGATCAATTTTTCATATCCAGCTTAAAAAGCCATATAAGAACATACCTTGTCTCTGGCATTTCTGTTTATTCCTTTGTTGAGCAGGAATTTCAGAACTTCCAGGCTTCCCCCACGACACGCCCAGTGAAGAGCAGTAGATTCAAGCTACAACCATAAAATAATTGAACCAAAACCCAACAAATTAAACAATTGTGATCATTTTAAAATGAATAAATATTGGTTTTAATTCAGTCTGACCTAAATCAAATTACTGCAAGTCAGGGAACACTGAGCTGTAGCCATTAGCAGCTTTTTCTTAATTGGCTTTAATGTCTCTAGTCCTGCTGATTTATCACCCTTCACAATCATTGCATGTTGTACTTAAAGGCAGTGGGATCTGGCAACACGGCAATAGTAGAGGGTGTCTGGGCCACTTGATGATTATCACATGCCTTAAATTAAACCTGTATTAAGTGCAGATTTATTTTTCTACACAGTAATTTAAAACAAGAGGTCCAAAATTTTCAAACCTGGCTGCCTATACGGAGCCCCCCCTAATTTTAAATGATCTGCCCTTTCAAAAGTGTCCAGCAGCCACAAATTTCAGTGAACTCAATGGAAGCAATGAGTGATCAGCACTTTTAAAAATCAAGCTACTTATATTTGGGTGCCTGCTATGGGTTTAGAAACCTAACTGTGGGCAGCCAAGTATGAACATTCTAGCCAAGTCTGGTGTTCGGTTTTTGATGTCTAGCAATATTTTTTTACTCTGTTTTGATGCCTTTTGGACTCCAAAACATAAGAAAAACAAAGCTCAGTGTAAAGAACCATTATCTTTTCCAAGCTGTTCTGCAGATGGGGAGGGGGGTCCCTCTCACCATCTACTCCCCAGGTTTCCTCCTGCCCCTTGGGAATCCTTCTTGTTCCTCCATCCCTCTACAACTCCAGTCACTGGAGAGTTAAGTGAGGCTTCTCTGAGCCCTGCCGTGTAACAATGATGCAAATAGTCAGGAGGGGAGACGTGCAGAAGCAGCAGCAAATGTTGTTGCTTACTCCACTAGCATTCCAGAAGAGCAGCGTGCTCTCTTCTGCTCCAGGCTGAAATCCCAACCCAGGCATTGGGGTTGTATTGTGCACCTGTGATCAGTTGATGAGGCTATGGCATCTCTACCACTTTGTAGAGGTGACAGGCCTGGAGTATTGTCCTGACCCCAAGTGTGCTACTCTTCTTTAAGCTTTGGTCAGGCTCTGTTGTGAATAAGCAACAGAAGATATGCTGGGCAGTCTGTTTCTCATCCTCGCATCTTCCAGCAGCCCATTTGGGGAGGTTGCAGGAAGAGGGGCAGACACCCTTTCCTTATACTCCCTTCTCAATAGTCCTGTTTTCGGGGTACACTCTTACAAGCTGCTCTAATCACTTGTGATGGACCCTGTAATTCTGTCTCTTGTATGGGTCAGCCGGTTTTACAAAGAAACTTAAACAGATGTATATACCATATCTTGGAACTCAAGTTGGGCTCCAGCTTCCACTAACTTTTCCACCAGCATCAGATGGCCTTCTGAGCATGCCCTGTGCAATGCAGTGCGTTGATACTGTCAATTAAAACAGGGATAAGTCAAATACTGTGTGTGGCACAGAGATCTGTGAAATCCTTTTCCTTCTTGTACCCTGGGATGATAGCAAACACACATTTTATGCTGATTCATTTCTGAGTATGTATGCTTTTGAGACCTTAAATCTGCTAAATTTTAATAGCAACCTCCTAGATGACAGCTGCCTACCCAGCACATTTTAAAGGGCATGAGTAATGTCTGCAATGTGGCATTCAAATTAAAAACCTTCTGAACCTCTTGAATTCCCACGTCCATATTATACTATGTTGCAAATGCACTTTAAAGCAGGGTATGGTGTAAGGAATCAGACAGTTCCTTCCTAGCTTGGAATGTGGCAGAGTCGGATATCCAAACAAAGCTGTGCTTTTTAAGAATGAAAGAATCCGGTTTTCGTAACTGTGCAGAAAGGCTTCTGTATTGTAGCTCATTGTCATGGAATCCTGCAGCATTGAAAGGCCTCTTGCCAAAGGAAATCAGGGTTTCCTGATTGCCATCATGCTTCCAATAAATATACAGACTTTCCTACGTAAAATATACTGTGTTTGTTCCCGGGGGTCCCTTTAAAGCAAGCAAACTTAATACGTTGTAGTTTCCTGTAGTTAATGCTCTTTCCTTTATGCTGCCAAAGGGCAAGAGAGGCTACAAAATGTAATTGAAATTGGAATTTTGCTTAACTACACCCCGTGATCTCTTTTGCTGCTATCTTTCTAAAGTAATAAGAATAAAGGTTGTACCTTATCACAAGCATCTGGATCCCCTTTGTCTGACAGGTATTTTTCAATTACTGGCAATTTATTCTCCAGTGCAGCTTTTAAAAATTTAGGTACATCCACTGGTCCTGTCTGATGGAGACAAATGTACAGAATATAAATGTGTGTTGCAGCTGTACACTGTTCCAGAAATCCCATCAAGTCTTTCATAAAAGAATGCACTTTCTAACAATAGAACTTACAATAACTTCTGGTTCAGGTGCCTTTAAAACGGGTACTTTCACTTTTGTGCATTTTTTCCTTTTCTTCAGCTGAATAATTTTTTCAAGATCTTGCAAGTTTTCAAGTTTTGGTCTCTCCTCTAGCTTTTTCTTCTTGATCTGAATAAAACAAGCAAATGATAAGACTGAGTCCAGAGGGAATGCAAACTCCTTTCAGCACAGCAATGCAGTTTACACTGTCAATCAACTAAATTCAAACTGGAAATAAGATGTCAATGTTCAACTGCATGGGATAATTAACCACTGGAATAGGTAATTAAAGGATCTGGTTAATACTCCATCACTTGTAGCCTTTAAGTTAAATTGAATCTTTCTAAAAGTTACACCCTTTCACTAGAGCCCTGCGCAAATACAAAATTTGTATCCACATCCGATCCGGGAACATGGTCCTCAAATATAAAGCAGATGTCCTCTGATTTGCAGGGCTCTAGATATAAAATTTGGATCCGTATCCATCTGCAATTTGCTGATATAAAGTAGATATACACAGATTTGCAGGGCTCTACCTTTCAACCACAACTTGTTGTGGTAGATACAGTAATCACTGGGTGACATACTACAACTTGTGTAATATAAATCAGACAGATGATCATAATGGTCCCTTCTGACCTTAAAATCTATGAAACCTGTGAATTGTGATAGTTGTACTGATACTATGGGTAGCAAAAGTATCTACGAGTAATTTTTGCCTCTGTGTTTCCTTGATCCCTGTTCTGCTTGACTAATTTCTGCCCTAAGAACCCATACAGCATTCCCTAGTCAGTAGATTTGCACAAGCTATGAAGGAAGAACTTGGCCTTTTGTTTTTTCTCTATGTAGCATAAAATTCCCCTGTTTCTGCATATTGTATCATTTCCCATGGAATTTTATGGCCAAATAGTGAGCGATGTTGAGTACCTATAACTCCTATTGACTTCAAATACCAGCTCCATGTCCCCAGAACCTTTCGGGATGTGGCCCACAGTTTTTCTTCCGCATTATTGTGTAGCTGATGGCTTTAACTTAAGGAAAAGACACCTTTAAATGAACCCAGGGTTCATACTGACCTGTAGTTTCACTCAGTATTGTTACACTGCAGAAATCTACTAAAAATGTCATTGCTGTCCTTAAAAGGGGGTGCCAGTAAATGCTTACGGCCTAATTCAGATCTGGTGTAAAAAGGTGCAGCTGTTCTGAAGTCACTATAGTTACACTTGCTTACAAGTATGAATTTAGCCCCTAATGACTAAAAAACTAAGTGTTCAAGAACCAGATTCTGCCACTCTTACCCCATTGTATAGTTCTCTTGACTTCAGTAGGACTACGCAACGGAGGCCGGTGCTTGTGACAGGGCTGGAAGCTAGCAGGTGAGCCAGCCCTCTGATCACATAGGCATCAGCCAGCTGCCTTGAGAAGGCTGATTGGGAAGGTGTAAGCTAATTAGCCGATCAGGTTGGGAGGCTGGATGATCCAGTTATACCTCTCTGCTGATAGACTAAGGTTATAGGAAGATAGTACTGGGGCCACAGAAGGAGTAAGCAGGACTATCTGAACCTAATGATCTTAAGAAAGGGTGATCTCTGTACTTCCCAGGCCTTGCAGGAAAGGGGTGAAGCCGTAAAGGTAAGGATGCACTGTATGTAATGTTGCTGAATGGGACTATATTGGTGTTGGGGAATGGGAATGTAAATCAATTATGCAAAGTTGCTACTCAGTAAAGAGTCTGAGCGGTTCCTGGGGTATCTGAGGGTGGGGCCAGAGCATGCCCTGTTACAGTGCTACACAAGGAGAGTAAAGGGGGTAGAATCTGGCCCTAAATAACTAAAAATGTAAAATGACTAGGTGAGCAGACACTTCATGTCTATTTTTAAGGGGGATTTTAATCAAGTAGCTTCACCTTCCCCTGTTTTGGATATGCTCTGTAATAAGGGCCTCCTCCAAAGCCCCGTTGAGTCAGTGGAAAGACTCCCACTGGCTAGTAAGCACACGGCAGGGCATTCTGGAAAGGAACGCCCTTAGTAACAGGGGGCCAAGGTACAGAACTTTGCTATTAACACTTGGCAGGCGAATGGTGTGAGTGTGCCAGCTTGGGGAGTAAGGCCTGTCTAGCCGATGGTGACAATAGTTATGTTTATGAATGGGAGAGCTTTTGCCATATATGCCACTCCTTAACATACTCTACAGCTGGCCACAGGTACCTTCTGGACAGAAAAGATTCCTAGTTCTTCAGCTAGAAATTACAAATGAAGAGAGCTTTAGAAGCAGCTTGACAGCATTACTGGCCTGATACAAAGTCCATTGAAGTCCATAGGATCCTTTCTTTGGACTTCAGTGGACTTTGGATGAGGTCCTCTGTCCTTCTCACTGGGTAGTGAGCTGCAAAAGTTTTACTTCTTAAGCTCATCATAAAATTATTTTAGTTAGAACAAAACCATGTGGCATTTTAGGGCTACACCAGTACAGCAGCCACATGATGATAAAAATGAACACAAAAGCACTTACCTCTGCCTGTAGCTTTTTCTCCTTTTCATGGGTCAGGTTTCCTCGGGTCAGGGAGTGTTCAGGGAGTGTTTTCAGGTCTTCTTGTTTCTCTAATCTTACAGCAGTTTCGTACTCTCCATTTTTGAAGTCCTCAGGAAGGAAATCTCCAGTCTCTTTATTGTCACTCTTCTTCCCTGTCACCTGTAAAAGGGAACACAATGTTTTGTGATTGCAGCACCATGTCTTAAGCACCCACCTACTGGGAACACTTAGTAGCTAGAAGCCAACTGCAGTGGTTAAAAAAACATATGTGTAAGTGTTCTATCTGTCCCTAGACTGTGTGTGTGTGACAGTCGGAGCACAGTGCTTACTCATGCTCTGCAACAGGATTGGCTTTATGACAATAGTTGCTGCAGTTTCATTAATGGCCTGATCCAACATCTATAGAAATCAATGAAGAAACTCCCATTGATGTCGGTGGGTGTTGGATCAAGCACTGTACCAGCTAGCGTGGATTATGAAGTTCTGAATCCCCTTTCTGACTGGCTGGGTCTTGATTGCTGCTATGATAACAGTAGTACTACTGCAGCAAGTGTCTGACTACAAAGCCAACATCTCTTTCTGTTTTCCCATTAATTTCTATCCTGTGTAACATTCATCAGAAAGTCATAGACGCTCAAGGTGGAAAGATACATTAAAGCCACCTGATCAACTTCCTGTCAGTGCAAAATCATTCCTTATTACTTACAAGCACAGTCTGCATGCTGCAGTGTGCAGACATAGCTGAAGATATGCTAGTCTCCGGGAACTTGCAGTCTAATTCAGACACATACAATAGAATTAAAACAGGTTTGATACATAGGCTAAGAGCCTGCTCCTCACCCACTGAAGTCAATGGTAAAGTTCCCATTGACGTCAATGTTGCTGGATAATGGTAGCTTTAGGTGGCCTATGCACACAATACAAATGAGAACAGTCCTTGAAAATGTTTCCTATGATTGCTAAAGTACCTTCAAAGTGTGTGTGTTAACCTTGGATGATTGCATGGTGCTGTTTGGGATTTATTTCAATCAAAAACTGTCACACAATTTGGTTTGTTGGAGAATTTAGCAGTGCAGGAATTGGAGGGACCTTGCCAAAGAATTTAACTCCAGTGTTTACTAACTATGCTATACAGCAGTTCCATCTTAAAAGCATTCCTCTGGGAGGAAAAGGAGTTTCCTAACAACATTCCAATGTTCCTCTACATTTGTCGTGTTTGCTCAGTTTATTGGTCAAATCAAGTTTGTTAGTTTGTAGTGTTCAGCCTATCTTTCAAAAAACTCCTTAAGCCATGAAAAACAGTTTATAGGAATTTTTGTTAGTGATTCTCAACATTACATTAGAAGTACAAAGGAAACAATCTTGCTTATGTGATCTAGACCAGTGACTCTCAACCTTTCCAGACTACCATTCCCCATTCATGAGTCTGATTTGTCTTGCGTACCCCCAAGTTACACCTCACTTAAACTACTTGCTTACAAAATCAGACATAAAAATGTGTCACAGCACACGATTACTGAAAAATTGCTTACTTCCTCATTTTTACCAGATAATTATAAAATACATCAATTGGAATATAAATATTGTTCTTACACTTCAGTGTATAGTATATCGAACAGTATAAACAAGTCATTGTATGAAATTTTAGTTTGTACTGACTTCGCTAGTGCTTTTTATGTAGCTTGTTGTCAAAGTAGGCAAATAACTAGATGAGTTAATGTAGCCCCTGGAAGACCTCTGCCTACCCCCAGTGGTACGTGTACCCCTAGTTGAGCACTAATTAACATCTAGACCTCTTTCTCCTTTTACTGAGTGCGCACCTTTTAAATATGTGATTTGCATATAAATACAGCAACTAAGCTTAAAAACAAAGTAAAAAGTATACAACGAATGCCAGGCTACACCATTCCTTCTGGTGAGTCATCTTCCAGTACAAAACCCAGTCAACTACTTTGTTATATTACATGGTGAACTCAACACTCAAGGAATAATTAAAACAAGTTCCTCCCAGCATAATGTGGTATAATAGATATAATTATGTACCAGAATATCATAGTGATAGTTGTCCTTTAAGTACCTGTAATAATAAAGATTCCCACTGATTAGTTACAATAAAAATCCTGAAATAACAATAATCGTGAATGAAAAGAAGTTTATACCTACCAGCTCCTCTACTTTCAGCATCATCATGTTTGCCAATGGTTGTAAGTTGTATTCCTTTATGACTGAAATCCCCTAGTGCTCAGGTCAGCTCTGCTGAGACTCACCACGATAGCTTAGCTTATATATCTTTGGGAGAACTTAGACTGAGTGAGATAATCTTCCAACCTGGGAATCCAAGTACATCCCTAACGCTGCCAACTCAGAGGTAGGTGCATTCTCATTCCACATGTGTTAACTAGCCAGACCTAGTGTCGGGGTCAGGATAGGGTGGGGGTGTTCTGAGGGAGGGGGTTAGGCTTACAGTCTAACCACAGTGAATATGTGACTCATTATGCAACATGAGCTCATCATTCCATTGGCAATGACTAAATAGCTCAGCAATGCTAGTCATTCTGTCTATCCAGTGCCCACTAGGACAGCTGTCTGTTGATATTGCTTCCCCCCCCCCCCTGACTTTCAGGCCACTAGGAGTTACCGGAAAGGGTAAGTGACCCATCTGTAGCACTTGTAGTAATATTTTTCTGATAAGTGGACTGACAGCCCCTTAGGTTTTTGTGAAGCCATTCTTTTCATTATGGTCTATTCCTGGACTGTAAACAATTTTAGAGGAAAAGATTTTTCTTCTCCTGAGGACACCCTTCTATATTTGTTGGAAGGAATTCTCTAAAGGGATTACTAAGCCAGAATGATGTCTCTGGTGCTAAAAGGGCCTATGACATGTTAAGTTAGTCAGTGTAAGATGACATAAACAGCCAGCTTTGCATTTTCCCTTGAAGTTGTCACCGATTATAAAGAGAATGATAACTTATGACCTGTTACTCTTCAAAAAAGTAAAATAATTGCTGCTTTCTTAAGCAATATTCTCCTTTAGAATCTCAGGGAATATGGGTGTAAAAATGATCCACTTAGTAAGTGGACTTGGCTGATGCATATTAAATGGGGAGCAAGTTATGGGCAGAAGCAACTTTTCAGATTATTACAAAAAAGTGCACAAGCTCCTTGGCTGTCGAAAGCCAGCACAGATGTATTGACTACAGTGGGGCTATACTAATTAACATCAGCAGAGGATTTGGCCCTGTGTCTTTACAAAAGGAAGATCTGTTAACCTTCAAATTTCAAATACAAGGAGAAATCTGGTTTGGCACTTTCAAATGCCTAGGTCCTCAATCCAGAAAAGCCCATGCTTAACTTTAAGCAAGTAAGTCACAAGTTGGACTACTCAGGTGCTTAAAGTTGAGCATGGGCTTAAGTGCTTTGCTAGATCAGGACCTGAGTGGCTAGGCTGTTGGGTAAAACTGCATTCATAATACTGACCTTTCAAGGTCCCTGTCCTCCCCTGATCTATCCATCAGTAACTTTGAGTATTTCTAAACATGTCTACTAGCCCCCATCATACCTACCCTCTGCCCTCCCTTTCCCTGAAATGAATCTGAACATCAGGTGGTTCCTTTACTACTCAAACAATGTGAGACATGGGAGGGTGAGCCCCAGAACTAAAATAGTGTTTGGCTAGCTAGAGAGCCTTTCTGCATCTCCCTTCCCAAACACTAATACCTCCTAGTACATCACTCCACAATAGTTGTGTTCTATATTGCATTTTAACTAGAAAACACTTTTGTGTTCCTGGTGTACATTATCTAGAACAGCAACTAACTCTGGCTTGGCTTTGCCTTGTTGTAAATGGGCCATAACAGGGGCTCTCCAACTGTTTCATAGGTTTAAAATTTAGATTGACATAGCTACATCACTCAGGGATATGAAAAACAAAACCTAAGCACTATAGCTATGCCAGCCTAAACTCTGGTTTTGGTTACACCCTGATATAAGCAGGATGTGTACGCAGTTAGGTCGATGGAAGAATGCTTCAGTCTATGTAGCTACTTCTGCTTGGGAAGGGGGATTACCTACATCAACAGAAACTTCCTTCCGCCACTGAAGGAAGTATGTGCACTACAGTGCTAAAACAGTATAGCTACAGTGCCGTAGCTGTGTCGCTGTAGTGCCATGTAAACGTGGTCATAATGTGGCCATGTCTTGTTAGAGAAAGTGTCTTATGAACAGCTCCCTTCCCACTTACAGCTACTTGGACCACCTCTGATTCAATGGATGCAGGTTATAGCCACAGGACTGATATGGGAAGGAAAATACAAGAGTGTTTGGCAGAACAGTTTAAAAATTATGTAAGAAGATGCAAACTCACTGTTACTGCTTTAGTTGAAGCTTGATCCTTTTTTTGTTTTTAAATTTTTTTATTTTACTTTTAAAAAAAGGCAGGGGGTGTTTCATACATGAAAGAATGCCAGCAAAATCCTACATTAAAAGAAATTAAAAGGAGATGGAGTTTTCTCAGCAACTAGTTCACAAATCTGAAATGCAGATTAGCTTTCCCACACAGGGCCGGCTCCAGGCACCAGCATTCCAAGCAGGTGCTTGGGGCGGCAATCTGCAAGGGGCGGCAGTCCATGTGTTTTTGCTGCTCCAAGCAGCGCGCCGAATTGCTGCCGCGGACGGCAGGGGCAGTCTGTGTGCTGTTAGGGTGGCACACATGTTTCTGCGGGTGGCGGCAATTTGGCGGCAGCTTCTATGTTCAGCTGCCCGCGGGGGCAATTCGGCAGCTTCTGTCTTCCGACTGAAGACAGAAGCTGCCGCGAATTGCCGCCGCCACGGAAAGGCGTGTGCTGACCTAACGGCACACGGACTGCCCCCGCTGTCCGCAGTGGCAATTCGACGCGCTGCTTGGGGCAGCAAAAAGAGTAGAGCCGGCCCTGTTCCCACAGATCCCCCTGCTTTCAGAGAAGATGCAAAACTCACTTTTCTGGCCCATTCTTCCCACAGTAACACCACAAAAAATAAATCATGCAGTAATTAATTGTAGAAGTCCAGTCCCTGATTACTTCATTTATAAAGAAGCAATGGGCTTAAATTGCAGCAAGGGAGGTTTAGGTTGGACATTAGGAAGAACTACCTAACTGTTAGGGTGGTTAAGCACTGGAATAAATTGCCTCAGGAGGTTGTGGAATCTCCATCATTGGAGATTTTTAAGAGCAGGTTAGACAAACACCTGTCAGGGATGGTCTAGATAATACTTAGTCCTGCCATGAGTGCAGGGGACTTGATTAGAAGACCTCTTGAGGGCCCTTCCAGTTCTATGATTCTAATGTTGAAGGTGGTCCGATAGCAGTAAAGGGTGACACGTAGAAACTTAGGTTGACTGAGAGTAAAATTTTAATTGAATTAGTGCTAAAGGATTGAGGCTAGACCCTTGCCTGATGTAAATTAGTGTAGGTCTGTTGATTTCAACAGTCCTACACTACTTTACACCAGCTGAGAATCTAGCCCAAATTCTCAGCACAATCCACTGATAGTGGAAGAAGAAGGAGTAGCATAATTACCCATTAGCTTGTTCTCTCCTGCTAGAATAGTAACTGAGTACTAACCTTTCAACAACTGTATTTGTCATATCTCTGTTAAGGTAATAATAGCTGATAGTCAGTGGTACATGTGTGCCATGGAATTCTAAAGCGTATATGGCAACCTGCTAAAGGTTAAGGGCAAAGCAAAGGTCTGCAAAATGTAAGATTGTGATTAAAAAACGTAAAGGGTAATAAGCTGTATATGCTGTAGAAATATCTCTATTACATACCTGATTCCCTACTACCACTCAAGAAGTTGGTTGCCTATTGTAAAAGATTTATTTGGGGTGGAGGTTGCTTTTGTTCAAAAGGACTAAACAGACTGTATGGGAAACTTTTTTTGCATAGACTGTAGAAGATATTTCCACATCCTGTGAAGTTTACCATCACGTTTTTGATGCTGTCATCACTCTGCTTAACTATATTACATTTTAAATACCTTTGCTCTGCCCTTGACTTCTAAGAGGTTGCCACATGCACTTTAGAATGCCATTGTGCATGGCTGTCACTGTCAATCTGCTACTACTAAATACGTATGAAAAATCAGTTACTGAAAAGTCATTACTTGCTTAATAGGGCACTAACCCAGCATGAATGAACAAATCATGATTTAATGTTCCTAATTGTGTGTATGATTACATACACACAGATGCACAACTAGGAACAGTAAGCCATAAGTGGTTCATTCATCCTGGATTAGTGACCTATCAAGTGAGTAAATGTAGATAAGTGTTTGTTTATTTCTTTGTGTGTGTGAATGTGTAATACATACGCCCATGGAAAAAAATAAACTTTACCTACAATATACAATGCTCACACGTATACAGGAAGACTTGCAAGTAAAACAGAGCCATCTACAGACAATTGTCCTGGTTAATGGGAGCCATCAAGATTCCAAACCACCATTAATGACCCACATTTTTCATAATTACAATAGGCCCTCAGAGTTATATTTCATATTTCTAGTTTCAAATACAAGAATGATACATTGATACAAATAGGAAGAACACACTCAGTAGATTATAAGCTTTGTAATGATACCTTACAAGAGACCTTTTGCATGAAGCATATTCCAGTTACATTATATTCACACATTAGCATATTTTCATAAAATCATATAGAGTGCAACGTCACGACATGTTCTATATATTTTCTTAATAGCTGTTAAAACACATTTAGTGCTGCATGTATATAGTTGTGTAAAAGGCTGCTACTGGGAATCGTATTGGCTCACTAAGAATAAAAGCCTGTGCCATTCAAAATTACAAATGGAAAGATATTTTAAACTAAAAAATGTACGTATAGCAAATTATTAAACTAATGATGAAGCTGTCTGTAAATCTCATTTGTTGTGACCAATTGTTATAAAAGAGATGTTGATGTCTCATAGTCTGACAGGTGTTTGCTCTGAACAACACCATCCTCTGTTGTCAGAACCTAAAATAGAAATGAGTCAGTGGTTGCATCACTTACTATGGGATTTTAAAGAGAGCTCTCTAGGGACTTGAAGGTTGGCTAGGGGGTGGGTTTTTTTAATCATGATGGTAAAAACATTGTGTATTATGTCTGAAACTCAGGATTTAAATTCATTTCAGCTCTTGGGTTTTCTTATGTACCATTCTTGCAACACAATGAAACTGGCTAATTCACACGGAGCAATCAAAGTAACCAAACTAATAAGGCGAAGCAAACAGCAGAAGTTATGCTGTCCATGGAGAGTGGGAAGAAATTTTTGCCTACAGTTACAATTGTCAGTCCTTAGTACAAGTCAACAAGACTGTTTTCCTGTACTCTTGCTGTACGGTCTGCAGAGCACCTCTTCAACTGAACTTTTTCACTATACATTTAGGGCAGCTAATGGA